AAAAAAAAAAAATGATGGCTCCCAGGGCTGACCATGGAAAAATGCAGGATGCCCGGGATCTGCTGTTAGGTCAAAGTCAACAAGTGCCCAAATGAAGAGGGAAACAGGCCAGCTTGAATAGGTCCCAGTAAGCAAATCTGGGAAATTCCAGGCAGAAACCTAATCAAGGGAGTATTATTATTAATGGACACTTCATTGAATAAAATAAGAATCCTTCCTTTTGCGCTGGTTGCTGCATAATGAAAGAGAAGGAAAGGTTTTTTTCTTGCAACAGAATGCCAGCTACGAAGTGCAGGGAATAACAGATTTGGAAAATTACCATTTTGCAACCATAGCAGTTACTCTTCATGTAAGAATAGTCAATCGTTGCTAAATGCTAAGAACGGGACAGAGTAATCTCAAACCACTTCCCCGGAAATTAATTATTAACCATAAGCTGGGGGGAGGTAGTTTCAGAGTGAAGGTGCCTGGTGAACACCCAAGTTTCCTTCCCCACAATGAGAAGTCACCATCTGCTAGTGTCAGGGCCCGTGTCAGGAAAGACACAGGCACAGCGTGACCATGCCAGGGGCACGGAAGTGCACGCCGAGCATAGATGCCCTGAACCCCTGCACACGAAGATGGACCTTCCACCAGATGGACCACAGAGTGGAGAAGGCGCTACGTTACTTTACAGCCCCTGGGGCCCTGGTACAAGCACCTTGTTTTGTGGCTTTGTAAAGTAAATGTCTGTTCTAAGGAAATACACACTGAAGTATTTAGGGACAAAGGGGCATGAGATGGGCAACTAATTCTCAAATGATTCACAAGAGAGAAGCCACACACACCCGTATCTGCATCCCGGCCTCATGGTACAGCCCATGACATGTGCTGCATTGACAGCCGTGGTCATGCTGCTGGCCCCTAAAGTGGTGGGCAGCTGGGGGTGGGCAGCTGAGACCTCCCCTGGCCAGCAGGTTGCCCCCGGCCTGAGATGTGCAGCTGAGGTGGACTCGGGATGCCGACCACAAAGGCTGCTTCTCAGCTGGTCACGAGCCATAGCTACCTTCCAGACAGCTACCTTTCAGTCGCCTCCCTGGTGAGTGACAGGTGAAGGCGCCACAAGTCTCTGCAGATGGGAACACAGAAGACGAAGATCTTACAACGGTCACTGACCTCCAAGCCCAGGTCGCAGCCGGTTGTCATAGCCATCCAAAAGGCGATCCAAGATCCTCGTGAAGATGGTGATGTTGTCGGTGCTGTCGTCGGGAATATCCGGGGCGTGTTTCGGAGAAAGTCTGAGGCAGAGGAAGAAAAAGAGATGAAACAAATAGTCCTGAACAGGGAGTAATTACACGTCCAAATGCTCTCATTCGAGATTTCGACCAGTGGGCTGGGCCAATAAATGGCTCCGCGTCTTGAGCAAACCAGCAACCGCTTCTGTGCCTCATAGCGATGGCAACAAAGCACAAGCCATCCATTAAATGCTGACGTGACCAGAGCTCTGAGGAGATTCCCTAATCACTTCATTTCATACCTGGAAATAAACTCGGGGGTGGGGGCAAATTTGCCTTCAGTCATTTCACTGGTGACAGGCAGAGAGAGGACAACATCCAAGTTGTCCAGTATCGAGTGGCCTCAGCTACTTCTTGCTTCTCTGGGACAGATGCCCTGGCAGCCATGCAAGCAGCTCCTGATATGGTCCAGGCTGAGCCTGGTGAGCTCACTTTGTGAGAAGGTACTTGATGTGGTCTGACAGAACTAGAAATAAAGAAAGGCCCTGGGTACAGTAAGGGCAAGAGGGATGTGGTGGGGAAAATGGCTGCTACAGGAGTGAAAATTGGTATCGGGAGGGATATCTATCTACACGCCTGTGTTCACCGCAGTGTTGTTCATAATGGCAAAAATACAGGGAACAACCTAATTGCCCGTCACTGGATGTGTGCGCCACAGAGGGGTGCAAGAGATACGCGTGAGTGCACGTGCACACATCCACGCCATGGAGTATCAGTGAGCTGTAAAGAAACAGGCAGTCTTGCTGTTTGATACTGGATGGACCTTGAAGGCGTCCGGGTAAGTGATGAATGGGACAGTGAGGGACGAACGCTGTATATCACTTACATGCCAAATCTGAAAACACTGAACTTGTCAAATAGTAGAATGGTGTTTCCCAGGCGCTGCAGGTTGGTGAGCTGGGGAGATGTGATGTAAGGGCAGAAACTTAGAGTAGATAAGTTCAAGAGAGATCTAATGCCCACCATAGTGATTACAGTTTATGAAACTGCATTATAAACTCCAAAGTTGCTAAAAGGCTACATCACAAGTGTCCTCAACAGAAAAAAAAGATAATAAGTATGGGGCCGGACAGAGCTACTGCAGTAATCATGTTGTTATAGATTACCAAACCAACAAGCGTACACCTTAAATGTGCAGAACGCCATCTGGCAATTTCTTTGGGGCTTCCCGGACAGTCCAGAAGCACAGCCTGACACCCAAGGCCTGCTGTGACCCCGCAACACGCCCTCAGGGAGCTTTCACTGCCGCCAGCTTCACTACTTTTCTTTCTGACTAGAAGTCACAGGCAAATCAGATTGCTCACCATTCCCCAATACGCTCTGTTTTCATTTTCCAAGTTGAGTCAGTCGCATATATGGAAAGGCCTAGCTAACGACTGAGTGCTGGGATGCCAGTTACACACTGGAGGGGAAAGAGAATCACCTGGCATTCAATAGCACACATTCTAATGTCCTTACAGAATCCACTTAAAACAATAAACCAGTTTTTGGCTAGGGTACATCCAATCGTCCAACCAGCCAGTTGGCCTTTCCTCAAGTACCTTCTGGAGACCCAGCATGAAACTCAAGAAGCGTGGCCCGAGAAGTGTGGCCTGAGACTCATCCACTCAGCACGGGCCACACATGGCCACACTACTTGCCGACTTACAGTAAAATCAAAACCAAATGCTTTATGTCTTATTAGTGACTACTGTCGACACCGATAAGGTTGTAAGGACTGAGGAACTATCCTTCAAGGTGAAATAGACACCTAGAAGGATGACTCCCTGGCTCCGACTGTGACAGGAAAGAGCTGAGCGACCCCAACAGTTCTTCCTTCATTCATGACAACCGCTGTCACGACGGCCACGGGCGCACAATGTGCGCACAGAGGAAGTGCTGACCCGGCATCACGTTCCTACAAAATGACTGACTCCCCTCTGCTGTAAACAGTAAACAGGTCTTCAAACACATGTTCTTAATTTCCCCTCCCGTAGATATTCTCTTCGCTCCCCTCTGTTCTCCTTCCAGAAACACAGGGACACTTGGCATCCTTGGCTGAGGAACAGAGGAAGAAGAAAATGTGAGTGCATCATTCCCTGACCGTTCCTGTGAAATCTACACGAACTGTCTCTTCAGCACTTAGGAAAAACCTGTTTCAAAGGGGCATGGGGGGGCCAGTGGTCTGTGGTGGAAGTGGTCTACGGTAGGCGTGAGGAGGGTGGGGGATGTAACATACATCTGAAGAGGTGAGAACCTATTCTGCTAAATCACATACAGTGCTGTAAGCCAAGATACTACAATAAAAAGTAAGTTTTCCAGGTTAAATGGACAGAATCTGTCTCACGTGACCATGTACTACTCAGCTTCCCGCGCCTTCCCTAAGGGTGCTCTGCACCTCGACGAGTCCTTTTGCAAAGCTCCCCTCCTCCACACTCTTTCACTGAAAGGCCCCATCTGTTTTCCTTGAGATCCTTTCTGATATACATCTCAAGTTTCAACAAAGTGAACTCAGGCCTGGACAGAAATGCACCTGGCACTTAGGTTGACCCATGATGAAACTACTGTCATTTGACCATTTGGACTGTAAAAATGATAATTTCATAATGGCCCAACCTGACACTGCCCACCTATATGGTTCTCATTTGCTGATGGTAAATACTGGACCAGGATGCAGGAGTATTACAATGCCTTTATTACATGTAGCTGAAATTGTTTCCTGTAGCTTCTCTTTACAAACATGGGGCCTGGAATGAGAGGCTGCTATTCTAGAACTCTCTGGCTTAGAAAATTGACTTCCCTTTCTTTACTCTCATCATCTTCATACACAAATTAAGGATCAGTGAGATGTTCTGTGCAGGTTTCCCCCCATCTGCTCTTCTAAAATTCTAGAATCCCACAGCCCCAGGTAGACTGCTAGTTCCGGTAAACAAGGACTGTGCCCACAGAGTACTGCCCAAAGATCGTACCTCAGAGCCATCTAGGGCATGAGATCAAAAGCAGAGTTTGAGGCTCTGTCCCCACAGCTACCAAATGACAATGTGACTTACACAAAGTACTGGCCAATGAGCTGCTGTTGCTGTTGACTGTTAAGGCTGGTGGGTAGCCAACCCAGGGGGCTTAGCAGAGCAAACCTCTAAAGGTATATAAAATACTGCAGCCAATGGATTTTTTCCAACACATGAAAACAAGTAGGTATGAAAACAAGCGGAAAGTGTAACTACTGGCATGTGCCACCTATTTCCAAGTTGTTTTGGTTTTAAATGTTTTGGTTTATTTCTAGAAATACAAATACAGGGTCATCCTAATATTCAGTCAGGCTTTTAGTGATCTCATCTCTTGGGCTAGAAAGAAAGTGAATAAAGAAAGGCTCGAGTGCCCCTACGGTAAGGCTGTAATCACTAAAGGCCTGGGCTCTGCTTTTCCGAGCACCAAAGAGATGTAAACAAAGCAAAGCGAGTAGGTGAACAGCAAATGCAGAGAGCGGAGACGCAGAAGAAAAAAGCAGATAGAGAGGGCATATTCGTTATGATGAAACATAACCAAAGAACTCTTCAAAATCCTTCTGAAGATTATACAAAGCATGCAATATATTTGGAGGGAACTTTATTCTCAGAGTTAGTTTAAAAGCTTTAATGCTCAGAGTTGTACAGTTTGTTTATTTAGAGCTCTCATCTTATTTAGAACTTCTCTCATGGCCCGATAATACAGTTAAATGAAGGGTCAATAAAGCAGAATTAGTCTGTCTTTCTACACTGGGCTGAAGAACGGGTCTCGTGGGCTGACTTTCTAAGGCCATATACACCCCCCTGCACAGCCCACAGCCCAGAGCTCACTATGGAGAACGCTGAGTGAAGATGGAGAGACTCAGTCCATTACACTAATCAGCCCTGCAAACACACTTTGGACCAAGTCCTGAGGCTTCCAAGATGATGGGACAGTAGCCAAATGTGAAATGCCCCCCCTCCAAGCCCACTAGCAAAGACAAAAATACCCAGTGTAATAGTCAACTCTCAAGCTGAGGTATCGTTAGTGGAGGCATTCCCTGATGAGACTGGTTTTCGGAGTAAACAGGCGCTCAATATAGCTGGAAAGCACAGCGTTTGGTGACAGCGAGACTACCAAGAAAGGATGACAAGATGGGTAAGCCCTGGGTCATACTGAGACAGAATCACATTACGGAGTCTCAACTTTAATCTAGAGACACTAGGGAGTCATTAAAAGAATCAAAAGCAGGATAGCTAAGACCCAACACGCACTGCAGACAGAAGAAATGCTTCTGGCAGAGAGGAGCTTGGCTGGACGGGAAGCAAGACTGTAGAAGAGCAGCTGGGGAGCCTTACGCTGTTCCGAATGGAAGGCGACACTGGAAGAAATGAGGGTGGGAGAGGGAAGGTGGGTAAAAAGCAGAGGAACCAAGGAACGCGGGAGGTATCAACGAGCTCATGGTGACCGAGCGCGCCACACACAGAAGGGTAGAGAGGGGGCAAGAATGAGCCCAAGTTTCTGGCTTTCCAAATGGCGTGCATGGCAGTGCCAGTGGCTACAGCAAGTGCTTGTGTTCAAGAAAGAAAAAGGGCAAGAGGAGCTTTGTGTGTGTTGTTGGGTTTTACTGAACAGATGGAGAATTTGGGGAATAACCAAATGGACACATCCAACATGTTGGACACTCAAGACAAGTGAGGAAAAGCAACTGAGATGGCATGCGCACGTGTGTGAGAGACAGACAGACAGACAGAATAAAATACTCATATTTTATTTCGGCAAAGAGGAGTTGGAGGAGGAGGACAGTCAACAATGCTGCCTGTTGCTACTTGAGAAGCAGCGAGCGCAGCGCGTCGGTGTCCGGGCAGGACAGCGCAGCATGAGCCGTCCTGACTGCAGAAGCCACGCTGCAGTCTTGGGGTGGAAGTCACACAGCAGCGGGTGGCGGAATGTGTGAGTTGCGTGAGCGGTGAGTATGGAGGTGAAGCATGACTGTACAGAGATGGGAAGAGTTCGGGCACTATCTGAAGGGAACGTTTATGTCAGTCTGCAGATTCCGGATCACATTTGCATGTTAATGGCGCACAGGCAGTAAAGAGGGACCAGCAGAAGATGGAGGAGAGGAGAGAATGTTGAAAGCAAATAGCTGGAGAGAACTGTTTGTAAGACGCCACCCGGGGAATTCAAACGTGAGCTAGGGAGCTGCCCTAGGCCTCGGAAGGCCTCTCCTTGAGAGGCTGAGTTAATGTTTTGCAAATATAATGCAATGCTAAGCATCAGGGACCAGATTATTTCAGTTCATTAAAAACAATTAAAAGCTTTGGTGTAAGGCAGGAGTGTATCGGCCTGTCTTTGTTCTCAGGTTCTGAGGGTTCTTACCCGCCAATATCCTGCTTCACAAAGTCCCCGGGCTCCTGTCGCCTCGACTCCCCTTGGCCCGTTGTTCCAGGAAGGGCATTCGTCAGGAGGAACAGGCCCACGCTGGCCAGGTAGAAGTGACTCATTTGCGTGATTCTCATCTTCTCAGGCAGCAACCTGCAGACACTGTGAGAGCCGTGTGTAGGGAAAGAGGAGGGGAAAGGGATGACAAGGGGAGGGAGAGAAAGGTTAAAAAAAGATTCTGTTCAGCTCTCTTAGAGCCGTTGAAAACTCCCCGTTATCTAGCTACTCGGTGCCTAATGTGACAGGCCCTTTCCCCCAGGGCTCGGGGCTACCAGAATTCACTCCACTGATGGCCAGTGAAGAGAGGGCGGTCACAGGTGCTTGAGGTCCAAAAGCAGGAGTCTGAGCTTTAGCTCTGCCCCTGGCTTCTGATGGCTGAGACCCAGCTCTGCTCTCAGCCTCGGCTACTTCTTACAACCCAAGAGCTGAGGTACACTCTCATGTCTGAATTTTGTCTGTCCTGAGTCAGAGTTGATGTTTACCATTACAAATGCCTTAGCCATAGTTAATTGTACTATTGCAGAAAATCAGAGACTAGTAATACCTCTACAGCATTTTGGAGGTTGAATCTCACCCTGCTAGAGCTAAGCAATTTTCCAAAAGATCAAAGGACATAGGACGGATGGACTGTTTCCGTGCATCAGGCTAGGAAATGCTCAGACTGAACCCCCCAGATTTGTACGAGTGTTTCCTCATGAAGGGCTATTTGAAGGCAAAGCCAGGCCCAGCCAGGGATGCAAGCGTGAAGGAAAATTCCGAGGTTAGCTTCCTGGCACAGAAGCCCTTTTAGGAGCTCATAAAGCGACCCCTGTGAGCCAATTCTGACCTCTGCAGGTTTACCCAAGAGCGAGGGCTAAGAAAATGGCATAAAGTGGCAGTCCCTTAGCTACCTGTCACCCTTAGAGTTGCTCTGAACCTGAGACACTGACCTCTCGAACGGGACCTAGTAGCGCCAGGCCACCACCACCCTCTTTTCAGCCAAGGCACTGGTGTAGCTTTCAGAGGGCAGCAAGGATCTCGCACTTTTCCAAAGGAAATTTTGTGCAAAAGACTAATAAGTAAAGCAGATAAAGTTGGGGAGCTATTCTGGTTAATGAGCTGAAGAACCAAAGTGTTTCTAAATAGATACCACCTCCCGAAAAGCAGTCACTAGGTCCTACATAAGATTCGCTTCTTGAAGCTGTCACAGGCACAGAGAACTATGATGCTGTGGAGGATGGATTTCTGACACGAGAAAATGGCCACGCCGTAGACAGAAGTTGCCGTGAGGTGAGGCTGCATCACATGACACTGTGAATATCTGACAACTGTTGAGCACAACCAGCAATTTCTTAAGCCAATCTAAAACGCGTGACATACGTGGCCAGCTAACTGTACAAGTTGTGCTTGGCGTACGCAGATGCACGGGGCGCTGCCGTGTAGCAGCCCAGGAGTGGGGCGAAAGCCACATGCAGATGATGGCCACGCCCGTGGGGCATCAGCCACGCAGCTTCCACAGACCTGACATGAGCACACGGCAAGGAGAGATCTCAGACAGCCACAAATCTCGACTGGCAAGCACTGTGCAGGACAAAGCTGTCTGGTGCAGGGCAGGAAGCGCAACTGCAAAAATGATCTGTGGAGAAGCGCAACCGCCGTGGGGGTTCGCTCAGAAAACACGAGTGCGGGAGGAACAGCCTGTCTGTGGGGTAGAAACAGCCTGGTCCAGGGGGAGGAGCGCGGCGCCGAAGCCTGACGCGTGTGCTCAGCTAGTGTATAGCTGCGGGGTGGTTCAAATGGTCACAGCAAGCAAGAGCTGCCTCCCAGGAGGGACACATTCCAGTGCCGCGGAAGCAAGTGCTGTGTGAACTCGTGACTGAGGTACGTCTTCAGGCAGCCAGTATGCCTGAGAGGGTAGCCAGCGCCTGCGGAGGGACAGGACATGGCGCTGCCTCCGCCAGGCACGGCACTGCGACAGCTAACAGAGTCATCGCGCGCGGGAAGACACTGGGCTCCCGCAAACACGGCACCTACCGTGCGAAAGCGCTGCGCACGGCCTCTGCCCGGACATTTTCTTATGTGTTTTTTCCTGCACTTAAAAAACTATGCCACGAGGGCCCTCCCAGAGGCGCAAGGGTAAAAGACAGCGCTATCAAGCTGTCAGCAGCCACTGCAGCAGGCGCTCGAACCTGGCCAGGGACTGACGCCCCGGCGCGGCAAGCCCCTCCTGTCTCCCGCTGCTCCCTCAGCAGTGGGTGTCAGGGGACCCACCTCCGGCACTGTGGCCTCCTGCTTCCCGGCACTCGCCCACGCACGCCCCAGCCCTGGGACCTGCACAGGGCAGCAGCCTCTTCCCGGAGCATTCTTACATCTGACCCCTCAGAAGTTTGTTTCTCTCCCTTCAGATTTTGTGTTAAATACCACCTGCATCACTCAGGCCTTCCCTGACCAGCCTGTTGACAACGTCAACCCTTCCACCCGTGCCACTGCATCGTCTGCTGTTTCCCTCCCTTGCACCTCAGATGTTTACTGTGTGTCTCGCAACCTCCAACTTCCATTGCACAATCCATGGCGCTGCAAACAAGGACTTTTACCTGTTTGATTTGCAGACCTGTGTCCAACATATAGAATTCCCAATACATCATGCATGTGGAATAAACAGTTAACGAATGTTCCTTTGAGAGAGTCACACACTACGGAGGTAACGAGCACAGAGGAGACAGTGCACACCACACTGCAACCCACGGGCCAAGAGACTCCTTGGCCCCCCAATGCCAGTGGCACTGGCCTGAAGCATGCCTTGTGGAGAGCCTGCTCAGCTGCTCTGGCAGGAGGGCACAGCTCCTGCACACCCTGAACCAGAGAGCTGTCTCCGTCAGGGAAGGCTGCCCCTGGGCAAGCGTACAGCTGGGAAGGCGAGAGGAGGAAGGGGACACCTTCCTGGCCTTCCAAACCAGTCGCATCCACCTGGCACTCTATAGGAAAACCCAGACACCAAACGACAGCATGGGGGCCGTCAGAGGGAAGGGCCGGTGGGACAGGCAGACGGTGTGCTGGAAGGCGCGGGGGGAGGGGCGGTACACACACCTCCTGAGGAGTGACGCTGTGCACCTGCGAGCCAGACAGCGCTGTGAACCTGGGCTCCCTCAATACAAGTTAAAAAGACCCGCTCTTCAGGACAGAATGTGGACACTCATGCTCGGCCTTGCAACCTCTAAAGAGCCAGTAACACAGCATACAGTGTCTGCTCTTTGATCCGAATACCGGCTCCTCTGATGGATTCAAGCACTTGGGCACCTACAAGGCAGCGATGCGGCACATTCACCTCTTACAAGTCTCAGACTTGCACGTTGCTGCCTAGAAACTACTAGACACTGACTTTCTTTCTGCGAGGCCCCTACCTGATGGGGCGAGCCCTGGCCAGGAGCACTGGGGGCTGCCACGCCTGCCCACACCTCAGAGCCATCATTTCACTCCTAGCAACCCCACATAGAGGCCTGAGTCGGCCGAAGGTCTTAACTCACTTCCTTGTCTCCAGACATGCTCGGAGCAAACGGTAGAAGCGTTCAGTGCTGCTACGTCACAGAGGAACCCTCGGCCCACCCCTCCTTGCCCTCTGATGAGCCGCAACTGGCCTCCAATGCAGCCATCCTTCCACTGGTCAGACCCTAAACCCAAATGCATGGTCTCAAAGAACTAGCTAAGCCTCACACCCTCCAACTATAGATTCTTCTCCATCCTGTCACCAAGTTGTTCCTCATCATCTTCATCATCACATTTCCTTTCTCAGCCTGCTCGAAAGGCATGTGTGGCCCGTGACTGAAATCACTAAGCACACCCTCTGGCACACACTTGCCTCTGACTGGTTGGAATTGCCTGCACAAACACACATGGCGGCATAGGCCTCACTCTTTGTCTGCAAATGAGTCGCTAAAGAGAGCCCGAGGAAAATGCATAATTTGTTCTCTGGAGTTTTCCTCAACATACTTCAAATGTCCCATCACATCTACTGAAACACTTCACTCTCCCACTCACTGAAAGTACTTCTTGTAAACTTTCTTTTCTCTCCTTCAGTGACCAGTGACACTTTGCTCAGACTCTCACCCCATGGCTGTTTGTTTTACAGAGACTCAATCAGAAGACCTCTCTCTCACACCATAATGACCCCCCCCCAGCTTCCCTCAGGGGCATTGCCACGCCCTCAGCCTTGCCCTCCCTACCTGGCCCTGGGCCCACTCCCAGTCTCCCATACAATGGCCTTACTTGGGGTGTTTTCTTATTCCTCCCACACTTGGCAGCTTTTCCCTCTCTCCTGGCTCACAAAACCCTGAGCGCACAAGACACTGGCATGTCAGCCTGGACGCGACCTCCCCCCCAGCTTTCCCAGTGTCTCCGGCTTCTCACTCATGTCCATGATTTTCAGTGTCATTACCTCTGCTTCCTCCTCACTCCGCCTTGCCTCAGATCACTTACAGCTGCAGGTGTTTTGACTATCACCCACTGAGGCCACTCGTATTTTCGTTTATTCATTCAGAACTGATGGGGGCGTGCAGGGAACACAGCAGTGACCACAACAGCCCACTGGGAGCCCATGAAGGCCTCTGCCATGCACACCCTGCGTTAAGTCCAGCCTGACGGCCTACGTCTACACCCTCCGGGTTGACCGTTAACATGCCTGTGCTGCTGAACACGGCACACTGGACCCCCACCGTCTCTGAAGCCCACCAGCTGGCTCAACTATCATCTCTCAGCTGCACAGCCACCAGGATGGCAGCCCGGGCTTCTCTGTCTGCTTCCGCTCCTGCCCCTACGGCATCCACTGCACAGCATAAGACATAACTCTTGACTGTATCACGCACCCCTCAGTTTTTAACAGTGAATTTTCATCGCATCCAAAGGCATTACCTTGACCTATAAAGAGCTACTAGAGATCATCACCAGCTGCCTATGAACCCCACCTTTTCTCTTTTCCATCTCCCCTACTCACAGCCAGTTAAACTGACTTTCCTTGAAAATACCGTTTCCCAGAGTGTCTCGGGCCCCTCAGTCATACATCCCATAGATCAGCTCGGCTCGCTCTGTGCTTTCTCGAGGATTCTAGTCCAGTGTCGCCGCTTCCAAGC